CAGAAATGGAAAGCCCTAAGCGCTTTTTGGTAGTCATTGTAACAAAGCTTTCTCTTGGTCGGTAAACTTTCTATCGCGCAACCACGTGACATACACGGTTATGAATAGAATTACCGCACGGTGTTGTGGAGGGAGGAATGTTCGAACGGAGCAACACCGTGCAGGCGGACGATGTTTATAACTGTATCTACTGTAGTATTTATACAGTTATTATAGTGGATTGGGAATGCTGTAATACATCATGTATTAACTGTATAACAGCTAAAGCAAACAGTCTGGATGTGTGTGCTACCATAATACCACAGGTAAAGGTGAAGGGTGACTATAAAACAAACAAACACGTGTCTACCCATGAGCCTTTGTGTGTTTTGCGTGCGTTGTCAACGTATCTGTCACTATGGTGATATATTAGGTACAATATATAATCAAAGAAATCTGAGGGAGAATTCCCGTAAGCATTTGAGGTATATTAAAAAAATATTCAAAATTTAACTAATATTTGTCAGCTATTCGAGATGCACAACGTGAAAATGAATGAAATGTGATGAATATGCATAATATGCAAATTAGGCATTTAGTATGTACGAATTTCAATCCAAAACTAATCAGGTCTTTGCTTGTTGTTCCCAGGCCAATGCAAAATCTTATTGAAATGCAATAAATGCTTTTTGTTTTGAGAAATTATTATGCAAATTGGGCAATTATTATGCAGATTGCAACCCAATACTAAATAGGTATGTACTTTGTTCCGGGCTCATATGTTCCAAGTTTCATTATAATGTGATGATTAATTCTTAAAAAAAAAAAACGGTGGAAAGCCGAAAAGTAAATCATTACGGGTGTATATAAACCCAAAAATAATTAGATCGTTGCATTGTCTTGGAGAAATTATTTAACAAGATTCATTGAAATAAGATTATGAGTACTTGCGATATTGATCGAAAAGCTGAAAACTGACTAATGTAAAACTGCTCAATGTCATAGAGCATATATGTACCAAGTTTCATTGAAATGTGATTAGAACTTGAGATATTGATGAAAAATCCATAAAAAATATGACTTGCATAGTCATATTTTTGTGGATTTATGTGCTTATTAATTAAGCACATATGTTTACCCAAAACCCTTTAGATAATAGTGGAACAGACATACATACATTTCTGTTTTATTTTATTTTTTTATTTAAATCATTAAAAAGGATAACAGTCAGGTGTCTACGGAAAGTCAAGAAAATAGTTTAAATACTTCGGACCACCCAGCTTGACCCGTCGACAGAAACCGCTTTATCCACTGTTTTTTTATCGGTGTCACCACTCTCGTCTATCTCCGCCAATTCTGTTTTGAGTTTTCTTATTTCATCGGCGGCA